TTGAAAAAGTTGAAAATTACATGAACAGGACAAACAGAGACTCAGGGACATGGACAATGGACTAGTGGTTACCAGAAGGGAGGGGTTGGGGGAGGAGGGAAGAGGTAGATGGGGTAAAAGGGGTCAAATATAGGGTTTAGGGGGAGGGTGAAGTGGGTAAAGGGGATCAAATATAAAGTAGCTGAAGGAAACTGGACTTTGGGTGGTGAACACACAATAGAATATACAGATATCAAATAATAATGTACACCTGAAAATTACATTATTGTATTAACCAATGTTACCCAAATAAACTTAATTAAAAAAAAAAAAAAAGAATTGCTAGACAAGGATTTTTGTAATAGCAAAAATTTTAGAGGCAACTTTACCATTAATCAATATAAACTCAACTAAAATTTTTATACATATGTATAAAACAAAAGGCTAGGAAGGATATGCAACAAATTATTAATGGTGTTTACCAGCAGAGATTAGAGAGAGAAATTGGGATTACGAGATAATTTTCATTTTGTAATTTATAAACTTCTTTAAGATAAAAATACTAATTTAAAACAAAAAAATCTCTATAAGACATGTTTCATGTTCAATTATTGAACTTTTTCTTGTATTTACATTTATTGCCAAGATTTTCAAAATCGGGCTACATTATTTTCGATGTAAAAATTAATGAACAAAAGTTTAACATAAGTCATCTAAAATTGGTTGTATGGGTTTGGAATATACCCTTCACCTTTTTATCCATTAGTTTCCCCAACAGTAAATCCAAGTGATTGGAAGAGACAAACTCTAAAGTCCTGAATATACAAAGTTCTAAAGTTTTATTGCTTTGAATTTCTAATAACAATATAATTTAAAAGCCTTAAAAGTTCACATTCTTTGACCTAGAAATTTCAGTTTTAGTTATCTATCTTTGTCTGATGAGAGCTAGAAAGAGAGAAAGAGAGCATTGTTTATAACAGCAAAAACATTAGAAGTAACCTACATTTATAGTTATTATTTATACAGTTTACTCTTTAATTTGTTTGTTTTTTAATTTGTCTTTTAATCTGTTCCATAGAATAACTCACAGTCACAAAGGCAGTATGGATCTATATTTACACAGAAGTTGACTATCATCTAATGTTAATAGAAAAAGGTAACAATAGTGTATGCATATGAGTTCATGTATGTTTTTAAAATTTATTTGTTCATGCATGTGTATACAACTCAATTATGCACACATACACACCTTTATATGTATATGTTGGGAAAATCTTAGGAAAATAGGTAAAAATATCAAAGTTTGGTAATGGGATTACACATGATTTTGACTTTTTATATTCTTCTGTGCTTTCAGAGAACAAAGTTATTTCCACTTTGGAGAATTGTTTTAATATAAATCTCCAAAAAATAATGTCAAATAATAACACTTAGATAACTAAATATGTCAGAAAAAATAGAATTGTTTCTTAAGCTTTTTAAAAGTTAGGGTTACATTTATTAATTTATTTTTAATACTTCAGAAAGCTGTCACATATAGATGCTCAAAAAGTGTTTGAGCGACTTAGATAGATGGACAGATAGATACATGTACACTATTTCAACTTGTAAGTTATTACTAGATTATTTAGTAACATTCTATTGGTGGTCCATTTTGACTTCTAGAATTTTCTATCTGCAAATTTTTTATAATAAATCTACATCTTATATTTGAGAATCTTGATGCTTTCAACCTTAGAGTACTACTTTGCATTTAGGTGTACTAAATTTATTCTTATATTTTATTTATATCATTTTTATTCTAAACTTGTCTCTCCTCCTCATCAAGCTTGGAATGGTCTGTAGATGTAATGAGTTCTCTATTATCTACTTCTTTGATTAAAGTATCGAACACTGACTGTAAAAGAGTAATTATTTTTATATGTGCTTAAAAATGTAATTATACTTGGAACTAATTAATATAAACTTTTAAAAATGTAATTAATAGGATTTTGATTTGCATTTCTTGAACATTGGTGATACTGAAGATATTTTCATATGATTATTGGCTATATATGTTATCTTTCATAGGAAATACTTGTCCATGTATCTTGCTCATTTTCCAATGCCATTGTTTGTTACTGATTCGTATGAGTTCTTTATACATTCTGAAAACTAATCCTTTGTAGTTGTGTGAACTGCAAATATCTCCAAGTTTGTAACTTGTTTTTTTACTTTAAGGTGTTTTTTAAAAAATAAAAGTTCTTGGTTTTAATATAGTTAAATATATCAAATATAGTAATCTCTTCTTTTCTACTCAGAAATCTTTGCCTTAAGAAATTTTCCCTAATCCAAACCATTTCATACTCATGCAATTATCAAAAATGAGAAGTCTAAAAATAGCAAATGTTGGTGAGAATCCAATCTAGTAATCAATCCAATTATGTGTACTTAAGGCCCAATTTTAATATCATTATTGTAAATGCACAAAAAAAGAGATTTTTTTAAAACAGATTTTAAAGCTTAGCTTTCCTATAATTTGTAATTAATCTGACCAACATATTACATATCCATGTTTGTAGACCATTAAACTAATAATGAAAACATAAAACTTACCATCAATATCAATAGTCTTTAGTGCCTTTCTCATTTCTGAATCATTTATGGAAATCTTCAATATACGATGGATCATTGGAAGATCATTCAGGTAAATCTTACCACTTCGAATTTTACTAAAAATTGTACAGGCTTTTTGAAGTGCTGAACACACACACACACACAAAAGAAAAGTTAATTCGAAGGAATAACCATCCGTATTCCTCCCACCTCCTCTCAATGGAAAAAAAACCACAATAATCATTAAGAGAAGAGGCACAAATCTTTGTGTTCCAATTCTCTGCTTTAAAATCAATCTTGCGACTTATTTAGATATGCCTGGAGTCAGTGACCTCTAAGTCTATGAGTTTCTTAAAGAACTCTCAGAGACCATCAGGAAAGCAATCCTGAGGGAAAAGAAAAAAAACAACAAAGTGGCAAGCACCACATTTCCTGACTTCAAGCTATATTATAAAACTACAGTAATCAACATGGTATGGTACTTGCATTAAAACAGACACATAGACCAATGGAACAGAATAGGGAGCCCAGAAATAAACTCATGGTATATACAGTCAACTAATATTTGTCAAAGGAACCAAGCATACTTATGGGGAAAAAAAAAAACAGTCTCTTCAATAAATGGTACTGGGAAAATTGAATATTCACATGTAAAAGAAACTAAACCCTTATCTTAGTACCCTTCACTTCTTGACACTGAGCTCTCCATATCTTGGGTCTCTCCTTTATATTTATGAAATAATTTGGCATAATCACAAAAATTAACTCAAAATGGATTAAAGACTTAAATGTATGACTATAAATCATAAAACTTCTAGAAGAAAACACAAGAATAAAGCTCCTTGACTTGGGTCTTGGCAATGATTTTTTGGATATGACACCTAAAGCACAAGCAACAAAATTAAAAATAAACAAGTAGGACTACATCAAACTGAAAAGCTTCTGCACAGCAAAAGAAATGATCAAAATGAGAAGACACTGTATAGAATGGGAAAATATATTTGCAAATCATCCAAAATATATAAAGAACTCATACAACTCAATAGCAATAATAATCATCATCATTATTATTATATTGTTATGTTATTATTAATTATTATTTTTTATTATTATTATTCAGTTAAAAAATAGGCAGAGGACTTGATTAGACATTCTTCCAAAGAAGATACATGAATAGTCAATAGGTACATGAAAAGGTGCTCAACATCACTCATCATCACAGAAATGCAAGTCAAAACCACAATGAGATATCACCTCATACCTATTAGAATGGCTATTATCAAAAAGACAAGAAATAACAAGTGTTGGCAAGAATGTAGAGAAAAGGGAACCTGCGCACTATTGTGAAAATGCAAACTGATGTAGCCACAACCTAAGTGTCCATCTACAGATGAATAAAATGTTTATATACATATATATCAACATATATATATGTATAACCAAACATTATTCAGCCATAAAAACAAAGGAAATCTTGCCATTTGTGACAACATTGACAGAACTTGAGGGCATTACAATAAGCGAAATAAGTCAGACAAAGACAAATACTGTATGATCTCATTTATGTGTGGAATCTAAAAAAATTAGAAAATGAGATCAGATTTGTGGCTACCAGAGGTGGAGAGTGGGTGAATTGGATAAATCGGATAAAGGTGGTCCAAAGGTGCAAACTTCCACTTATAAAATAAATAAGTACTGAGGATATAATGTACAACATGACTATAGTAAACATGGCTGTATGGTATATCTTAAAGTTATTAAGAGGGTAGACTCTAAGAGTTCTCATCACATGGAAAATTTTTTTTTTCTTTTTTTGTACCTATATGAGATGATGGACGTTAACTAAACTTATCGTGGTCATCATTTGACAATATATGAAAGTCAAATCATTATGTCATACATGTTAAACTTATACAGTGCTACATGACAAATATACCTCAATAAAACTACCTAATATGATGATCAGAGTTAAGGTAGAGAGAAAAAATATGCCGAATTATTTCATAAATATAAAGGAGAGACCCAAGATATGGAGAGCTCAGTGTCAAGAAGTGAAGGGTACTAAGAATTTTAATATTAAGGTACCAAGAACTAAATTCCAGTAGAATCAGTGACTTTGGTGCTTACTAATTTATTCATCATATATAATATCCAGACTTTATCCAAAAAATTTTGAACTAGAATAAGCATATATATTTTACTTATCTTACCAATCAACAAAAGATATTTATAAATTAAGCTATCTATTTATGCTTGTTCACAAAATGCAGCATGTGCCACATCATGTAATATTAGCTGATATCATAAGCCATGAGAAGTAAAGAAAAAGATACTAGGTAATGAAACAATTTCTAAACAGCACACAATCAGGAAATTTATACAAGAAATTCTAGAACCAATAATTACCACTTAATTCTTCTGAGTACACATATCCTTGTGGTACCTCATCATATAGTGTCTGGTTGAAGTTAGGAAGCATTTCTTTTTTCCTGTCAAAGAAAAAGTCACATTAGAAAGTAGCAAAAAATACACAAAATAGTTATGTCATTTTCCTATTAAAATATTAGAAAACCTATCAATAGCCCAAGAACTATCCAAATGATAGTGAATTCCACATTTTTCACCCCAGAACTCTTTGTTTCTTTTAGATATTTCTCTTTGGAGTGGAATTTACCTTAGTCAGTAAGTAGTGCTCATAATCCACTATCCTTTGGCTGTGGCCTAATTCTTCCCACTCTTAACTCAAGTCACAGCAAATTTTACAGAAAGTAAATAAGAATATCTTTTAACAGCCAAAGAATCCCAGATCGCATAAACCTGTCAGTAAAAATATCTTGAAAAAATGATTCATCTAATCCCATAACATATAAATAACTGAAATCATAGAATGTTACTGTTGTACGATTCTTAACACGAGTGGAGTCTGAGGCCCAGAAATATAAAGTGAATTGTGCAACAGCCTAAGCTAGCATGTGAGTTCAATTAGGACTCAACATCAAGAATTTAAATTCCACACACAGTGCTCTTAGGGCCACATGTCCTTCCTAGTCTCTTTGTTTGCACAAACTATTTAGCATAATTTATACAGAAGGAATAGATGACTCCATAGAGAAAAACCTCAAATATGAACCCAACATTTAAGGAATATAATATAATGATTTAAATACCTAACAATTGAAGAAGATGTAGAAAGGGGTGATAAAGTCTTGTGAATGTTGTATTGATTCGGCAACTTGTATAAAGACTTTTCTTTCCTAATCATCTTCTTTGACGGCATCACAGAGGAACAGGCAATCTAGACCCAAATGCAAGAATGTTGGTGCCAGAGATCACATTGGTAAACCAGAGTCTTGGACAACAAACCTCTTAAAAGATAATTAATCATACTTAGGCTCCTTGCTTAGCTATGCTTTTGATGTAAAATTGCTTCTTGTAATAAATTACAGTTTATATATACTAAAATTTTAAATCAACTATGCAATATTCTTTTGCAAAGCCATATCTTTCTTAAGTATGCAACTAATAATCTCCTAATTAATATTGTATTTAATAATCAATTTACAGAAATGGATTTTACAAAGCAGGGCAAATCTATAGTATAGAGAAGATAAGACCACCAAACTGTAGGCTACATATACAGGCTCAGCCTAATGAGCAAAATAATGTGGAGAACCAACAGCTATTCAAATAACACAGGTAATTTTGCTTTAAATTACCCTTATGATTGAGAAAATTACCACAGATATTAATAAAAGTTAACATTGCATGTATAACATGATTCAAAAGCGGCAACCAGCAAGAGAGAAAAGTATTGCTTTAGAAAATGAGGCCTGTAATTATAGATGTCTTCAATTTTACACAGAGCCTAGAGCCTTGACTTTTAAAGACCATGCAGGATATAGAGAGATGACTCCCAAGCCATACAAAATTGATAGGAATTGGTACCGAGATCCCAGATACAGCTCAAATCTTCAAAGAGCAATGTTTTCAGCAAGAGTAGGCTATAAAAAAAAATTTATCCCCCAATAGGAGTATGCAGAGTACAATCTGTATTTGTCTCAGCTCCAGGTTGGGGGGAGAAAGAAAAGAGAGAGAAAAAAAAGTATGCCTCTGGATTAGTTATAGCCATACCTCTATCCACACATAAATTTAGAATTCAAATCTATACTGAATAAATGTTTTTTTTTCATTTAAAGTGGTTTCATTATTTGTAAGACCTCTGAAGTGCATGGCAGAAGCAAATTCAAATTCTCCTGGAGGAGGCCACTCTAAATCTAGATTCTCACAAATTTAAATTAATTATATACAAAAGAATGAAGAAAAAATATAAAGCACCCAAGGATATAAGTTAATATGAGTGAGATTCAAACAAAACAACAAATAGGAGATTTTGGACTTCATTTATTAATTTATGAGATATCAACTTTGAAGTAACTATAGAACATAAGCAATGAACGTGACATTAGGCAGATTTTAAGAAGAACCAAATAAAACTTCTGTAAGAAAAAAATATAAGCACTGAAATTAAATTCTCAATGGACAGATTAAGCTGCAGATTAGATTTAGCTGGAGAAAGAAAAACTATAAAGTAGATGGGAGAAATTACCCAGAACAAAATAGAGAGAAATAGATGAAAAATATGAAGCAATGTTAAAGAACATAGAGGACAGAATGATAAGGTCTAATATACATCTAAAAGAAGATCCGGAAGGACAGAATAAAGAGATTGAGAGGAAATATTCTAAAAGATAATGAATTAATACTTTCCAGAACTGAAGAAAGGCACATGTAGTCTCAGATTCAGGAGGTACAACAAATAATCAAGACAGAGAAATAAAAAATATATATATAGCTAAGTAAACATATAGTGAATGTAGTAGGTTAATGGTGGCTCCGCAAAAAGATATCCTGATCTTGGAACGTGTGAATGTGACTTTACTGGGAGAAAAAGCCTTTGCAGTTGTAATCCAGTGAAGGATCTCAAGATGAGATACATAATGATATGCTTATGAGAAAAGTACAGGGATATTTGAGATATAGACACAGAGAGAAAGCTATATGAAGAGCAAGACTGAAGTTATGCTGCCACAAGCCAAGGAATGCCTAGAGACATTGCTATAACAGCAAATATTTAACAGGGAGAATAGTAATAAAAATACTGGTCTAATGAAGGAAAAAAAGGGAAAAAATTTCATATTATTCTGAAAGGGTACCTTGTTCTATTTTTTTTTTTTTTTTAAGGAGGAGGAAGAGAAAGGGGAGGAGAAACAAGAACAGGGGAAAGAGGAGGAAGAAAAAATAATATTTAAGATTGTGACATTTCAATCATTGGACTAATTTGTAATGAAATGTCTGAAGGCTAAGGATAACATTCAAAAGTAAATTATTTCCAGATATTTATTTACCTCAGTTCTTTCAGTATGCAATTGTACTTGTAAAGTTTTCTTTCTCCTGACTTTTTTTCCTCCCGAAAAATCAGAGGATTTCTCTTTTCCAAATAGAAATATCGACGTTTCACACCTAGTTGCACAGAAAATTGGAATCATTCATGAATTACTTTTTTTCTTGGTTTTTCTTCTTTTATATTTTACTTATGGAAATTTTCAAACATATATAAAAGTAGATAGAATAATGTGATGATCTCCCCATGTGCCCATCACCCACGCAGCTTCAATAATGGACAATCCTATTTCATCTATATCCCTATACCTGCTCCCATACTTTATTATTTCAAGACAAATTCCAGTACATTTCACGTGTAAAGATTTTAATAAGTATTTCTACAAGGTGTTTTTACTCTTAAAAAAATTTAAACTCCAAGCTCATCTGTACACTTCCTTTCCCAGACCTACAATTAGCCATTTCTCCAAAGAAATGATTGCTTTTAACAAGAGATGGTACTTCAAGACTAAAGTCTGGTTACTAGACGTTGAACTGCTTTTTAATAATTATCCTGCTTTCTTATGACTTAGTTCACTCTTCTTTCTGCTTCTTTCCCTCCTCTTATTAGACTGTCAAAAGCTTTAAAAAACAAACATTCCATAAACTAAACAATGAGATGAATACAATAAGCCTGAATTAAATTCGAAAGAGAAGATCTCTCAGAATTTGCATGCTTTGCTTCAAGTAATCCAGGGTATACCTAAATTTCAAGAACAACCCTAAAATTTTTTTGTTCTCCTGGGAGAGAGATTAGATTCTTAACTTGTATGCATATTGGAATCACCAGAAATTTTTGAAAAATACTGATACCTGTGTCCCATCCTCCCATATTGTGATTTAATTATTTTGGAGAGTGGGCTGACATCTGGAATTTTTAAAATACGCCCAGGTTATTCTAACACAGAGACAACTTTGAGAATCACTATGGCAAATCCCCATAGGATTTCCATACTTATTCTTCCTTGTATGGAAAACTTTAAGTTCTTTAGCAGAAAGGGTTCTTTTATTTTAGAGTAACCAGCTTTTCAAAGGCTTAGGCGATACACAGGACAATGACTATATTGAATTCTGAACCCCATGATATTTGGATTTTTATGGAGGCTTTCTCATGTAGGCATGACTAGTTATTAACTTTATTCCAGACCTTCTTTCCTCTCTGAAGTGCTTCTAGGTTGGTGAACACATTTACATTTTGGGAGAGTGATGCACTCCAACTCCACAGGGACAAAAAAAGCTCCTGAGTTCAGTACTCTCCCAGATCTCTCCCTATGTATCTCTTCTGGCTGTTCATCTGTATCCTTTATCATATCCTTTACTAAACTGGTAAACATAAATATCTGTTTTTCTGAGTTTTGTAAGCTGCTCTATCAAATTAATTGAGCCTGAAGAGGGACTTATGGGAACCTCTGATTTATAGCCCACCAGTCTGAAGCACAGGTAACAACCTGGACTTGTGACTGACATCTGCAGTGGGGTAAGGGCAGTCTTGTGGGACTGAGCTTTTAATCTGTGGGATCTGATGGTATTTCCAGGTAGACAGTGTTAGAATTGAGTTAAATTGTAGGACACCTGCCAGTGACAAAGAATTGCTTGGTGTGGGGAAACCCACACATCTGGTGTCAGAAGTATTGTAAATGTGGTAGTATTATGAGAGTAAAGAAGAAGCATAGGAGAACTGAGGTTTTTCCTAACATAATCACATTAATAAAATTAAGGACAAAAATCATATGATCATCTCAATAGAAAAAGCATTTTACAAAATTCAACATCCTTTCATGATAAAAACTCCCAACAAAGTAGGTATAGAAGAAACATACCTTAACATAACAAAAGCCATACATAACAAGACCGAAGCTAACATTATTCCAAATGATGAAAAGCTGAAAAGTTTTTTTCTTTAAGATCAGTAACAAGACAAGGGTGCCCACTCTTGCAAGAAAAATAAATAAAAAGCATCCAAATCAGAAAGGAAGAAATTAAATCATCTGTTTTCAGATGGCATGATCTTACATACAGAAAACCCTAAAGACTCCACCAAAAAACTATTAGAACTAATAAATTCAGTAAAGTTGCAGGACACAAGATCAGTATATACAAAAATCAGCTGCATTTCTATACATTAACAATGAACTGACAGAGAAATTGAGAAAATAATCCCATTTACGATAGCATCAAAAGGAATAAAATACTGAGGAATAAATTTAACCAAGAAAGTGAAAGATCTGTACACTGCAAACTATAAAATATTGATGAAAAAAACTGCAGAAGACACAAATATATGACAAGACATTCTGTGTTCCTGGATTAGAAGAATATTGCTAAAATGTCCTTACTACCCAAAGTTACCTATGGAATTTAATGCAATCCCTATCCAAATTCCAATGGCATTTTTCATAGAAATCGAACAAATAATCCTAAAATTTGTATGTAACCACAGAATTCAAAGAGCCAAAGCAATATTGAGAAAGAAAACATAAAATTTCTAGAAGAAAACATAGGTGGTAAGCTCTTTGACATTGATCTTGGTAATAACTTTTTGGATTTGACATCAAAAGCAAAAGTAAACAAGTGGGACTACATCAAATTAAAAAGCTTCTGCATGGCAAAGGAAGCCATCAGCAAAATGAAAAGGCAACCTATGGAATGAAAGAAAACATTTACAAACCATATTTCTAATGAGTTAATATTTAAAATATACAAGAAACTCATATAACTCAATAAACAAATAACTCAATAAACAAATAACTCAATTTAAAAATGAGAAAGGAACTGAATAGACATTTTTTTCAAAGAAGACATACAAATGGCCAACAGGTACATGAAAAGGTGTTTGACATCACTCACCATCAGGGAAATGAGAATCAAAACTACAATGAGGTGTCACCTCACACTTGTTAGAATGAGTATAATCAACACAAGAGATAACAAGTATTGGAAAGAATATGGAGAAAAGGGATCCCTCGTGCACTGTTGGTGGGAATGTAAATTGGTGCATGGAAAATCATATAAAGGTTCCTCAAAAACTTAAAAATAGAACTACCATATAATTCACTTCTGGGTATATATCCAATGGACATGAAAACAAGTATCTCTAAGAGATATCTGCACTCCCATATTCATTCTATTATTCACAATAGCCAAGATATGGAAAAAATCTAAATATCTGTAAAAAGATGAATGGTTAAAGAAAATGTAGTATATATACACAAGAGAATACTATCCAGCCATGAGAAAGAAGGAAATCCTACCATTTGCACAACATGAATGGCCCTTGAGGACATTATGCTAAGTGAAAGAAAGTCAGTCGGAGAATGACAAATAATGTAGGATATCACTAATATGGGGAATCTTAAAAAAACAAACTCATAGAATGATGGCTGCCAGGGGTTGAGGGTGGGGGAAAGGATTATAGGGAAAAGATGGTAAAAGGGTACCATCTTTTGAATAAGATCTAAAGATCTAATGTTTAACAAAGTGGCTACAGTTGATAATGCTGTATTGTATAATTGAAATTTGCTAAGAGAGCAGAACTTAAGTATTCTCACCAAAAAAAAGTAAATATGTGAGGTGATGGATATGTTAATTAACTCAAAGGTGGTAATCATTTCACAATGAATCACTGTATTAAATATATTATAATATACACTTAAATATATTACAATTTTCTCCAAAAAAGGAGAGACAAATACAGACATACAGTTAATTGTTCTATTGTAATTGTAACTGGAAACTATCATAGCTTATAGACCTCCACATGGCTGTGAGAGAAGTGAGAAAAGTGTAAGGGCTTTTTTTAATCTAGAAATTAAAACAACACTTCCGAATATCCACTAATATGCATGATCCTCTACACTTAGTACATTATGAGAACACATGAGCTATATTTTTAGTTCTCTCAAACTTGTAAAATTATAATTCAATTAAGTAATTCAGAGTTTAACTTACATTTTCTTGTGTTCTGGGCTTGAACCCCTAATTTTAGGTGAAATTCTCTTATCTGTCGTTTTAGAATGTTTGATGTATTTCTTGCTGTCAATAAGTCTTGATAGGTCAGTTGCAAAAGAATTACAGCCATCATCTGATAAAGTGGTATTTTCTTCTGCCTGGGGAACAATCAAGAGCCACAGTCAGCCATGTTCTCTTTGGACATGTAAATTGTATGTGACATTCTAGGTCAAATCATTCATTACAGTTCAAAATTCTCTCTAAAATGGTGCCACCAAAGGGAATTTTGTTGAAAAGTGTTTATCCCTTAGTGCATTGGTCCAGATTAGGTACTTATTCTAATTGCCTCTAACTTCCCTCACTGCATTATGCAACTATAAAATGTACAGCATTTATAAATGTATCTAGTTATTAAAACTAGTTCTTAAAGCATCATTAAACTTAACTTCATTAAAAGCTTCTGTGCTGTGAAAGACACTGTCAATAGGATGAGAGGACAAGCCACAGACTAGGAGAAAATACTTGCAAAAGATATATCTGATAAATGATTGTATTCAAAGTATTTTTATTTTGTATATTCAAAAATTATACAAAGAACTCTCAAAACTCAACAAGAAAAAGAACAACTCAATTAAAAAATGTGCAATAGATCTTAACTGACACCACCAAGGAAGATGTGCAGATGGCAAACAAGCATGTGAAAAGTTGCTCAACATCATGTCATTGAGGAATTGCAAATTAAAACAACATCAAGATACCACTAAACATCTATTAGAATGGCCAAAATCCAAAACACTGACAACACCAAATGTTGGCAAGGATGTGAAGCTAGAGGCAGTCTCTTTCTTTGTTGTGGGAATGCAAATGGTACGGTCACTTTGGAAGACAATATAGAAGTCTCTTACAGAACTAAACATACTCTTACCACACAATCCAGCAACTGTACTTCTTGATATTTACCCAAAGGAGTTGAAAACATGTCTACACAAAAACCCGCACACAGGTGTTTACAGAAACTTTATTCATAATTGCCAAAACTTGGGAGAAAAAAATGTAGGTTCTTCTATTCCAACGAATGTACCATGGTGGTGCAGGATATTAATAGTGGAGAGGCTGTGCATACATATATGGGTAGGGAGTATATGGGAACTCTCTGTACTTTCCACTCAATTTTGCTGTAAATCTAAAACTGCTCTAAAAATAAAGTCTACTAAGAAAAAAAGAAGATATAGTGCTTCTAAATAGACACTCCTCCCCCCCGCTCAAAAAGGAACTAGAACAAGGAGCAATAAACATGTTTAGAAAAGAAGGAAATGAAGTTGGAAATATTCTCTCTTGAAATCTGTCTGCTTTAAACAACTGGACTGCAACTAGTTGATCAAAGGTACATTTGTTTTTAACCCCTGAACAGATTACACAGGCAATTTATAAAGCAGATTACCAACGAAATTTAATTTCCACATGAAATGGTAATTGAGGGAACTACTTCAGTGACTTCTAGAATCTGCACACATCTCTCCTACAACAGAAGCACACCTTTAACAATTTGTTTCAAGAAGGCAATCTGATTTGTTGCCTTGATGAGATGTTTGTTACCAATGATGAAAGGATTCCTAGAGAAGTTGAGAAAAATGACCCAAAATAGAAAGCAGGAAAAAAAGATGATGGGAATTTAAAAATATGGGATGGGTGGTGAACAAAAACCTGTTATCGAAGGCCAGATGAATGGAAACAGTCAAATAGTGGGTAGAAACTGACGACATAGAAGAGAAAAGGAAGAAAACTATCTCTGAAACTCTGTGGTTAAAGGTGAATCATTTGTGAAGCATAAACCATAAAGCTTAAAGAAAATAAACTGGTATGATATTTTAATATTGTTAATTTTTAAGAATTCATCTTCAAAATCAGTTTAAAAGGGTATAATCAACAATATACTAGGTATAAAAAGAAGGGACAGATTTATAAATGTAACATTAAATTATGTATCTCAATCCTTAGCAGGAAACTCTGAAATTGTTTTGTAGATTATAGTATGGGTACGTGTCTTATATGGTGGCTCCAGATCCATTAAAAGAATAAATTTAAAAGATTAGGACTCTCAGTTGACAATGTTATATTATACCTGAGCCATGTACACCTGAAAAATAGAGAACATTAAAGGAATCGTCTTTTGTGTCCTAGAAAATGACTTACAGCAAAGAACCACTCAAGAATGCCTCTTTGCTTACTTATGACAAGGCCAAACACAGACCCTCAAAATTCCTTTTCTTTGCCTCATAAATGATTAGCTCAACTGTTGTGTTCCCCACTGATTAATTAGAATAAAGTGTTTAAAAACTGAATTTTGGTGAACCTACTCTCTCCTATAGGCCCCTGAACTTTGGCCCACCTCAGCCTAAACTGGCATACAACCCTTCAGAGAATAGGCTGGATTCATGGTAAAATATGCTCTGATCTATTTATTCAATCAAGGTACTCTTTCATCCCACTTCCCCATATCCAGTTCTTCCTAGCCTTGTTTACTCCTCTCCATAAAAGATAACCCCTTTTCGCCTTTGAAGATCTTATGGTCACAGCATTCTCCCTATTGCAATAGTACCCCTCCTCCAATTTCAATAGTCCCTTTCCTTCCTTGCAATAATCCTTATGAATAAAGTTTCTCATTACTAAGTCCAGATATATTTATCTGACACAGTTAGCCAATGGATAAGAACATCCCCTGAATCACAGATAAGAAGACTAGAGAAACTTGGTATCTTTTATATTACCTTTTGGTTAGCCTCCAACATAATTAATTACATTATCTACAACCTCTCATGTAGTTTAAAATCATCTGGTCTCCTGAAAATTATCCCAATCCCTATTCCAGAAAATACTCTTATCATACACCACCGATATCTTGATACTTCAGGGGTTTTGGGATGAGAGTTCAATTTATGTTCACTAAAAAAGTTCAAAAGTCATGTTAGTTAGTAAGCAAGATCCAATGACTATATTACCCTATGAATCTGTTTACTGATTACAGATGTGAGGCAATACAAACTATTTTTTTAAAGAGAAGTCATCTTTAGAAACTATTTTGAAAAAATACCTGGCAGAATAAATGTACTTTAGTTTCCATCTTTTTGTTTAGAGGTAAATTCTTCCCTTGAGGACTCGAAGATCTCGATGAATAAGTGTAAATGAGCAATAGCACAAAAGGATTTTCTGCCAAAAAGAAAAAAAAAGAAAGAAAAGAAAAAGAAGAAATCATATGCCCGTTTAGGAAACTTAATTATACTTATCTACCTGAAGTTATCCCTTCAATGTAATACTTATGGCATAATGTCTAATAGATATTCTCCAACCCAGATATGTGTACAGAAGCTAGAAAAAGCAGTTAACAGATCATATCACGGGAGATCATCCTTTCCCTTATCTTTTGTAGTGCAAGGAGAGAAATCCAAATTCAAATGGCATGAAAAGCAGAGAGATCCAGTTACATTTATTGATTCAGATAAACCCAGAGAAGAACTACTAACACAGCAACGATCACTGTTATTAAATGCTTACTGTATACCAGATATTATAACACTTTGATATGAATTATTTCATTTATTCTTCACAACTATCATTTAAAGAATTATCATTTTAGAGATGAAGAACACAAATAATGTAGGGAGGAGGCAAGAGAACTAAAAAGTTAAATCAAGCTATATTCAGAAACTGCAATAAACTGATCAGCCCTGAAGCCAGACCATGAGGAAACCTACAGAACAAAGGAAGACTTCTGCTGGGATTGCTAACAACCCATTTCCCCCACACCCTGAAGGGAAAACAGGAAAAACAGAGTCTTTAAGTGGAACCCTACACAAAATAAATTCATTCTCTATGGCTAAAAACCATACTGGAGCCTATGGATTGAAGGCTGGGAACTGCCAGCAGACTTTTCACACTACATATTCTTACCTTTTCATGCTACATACTCTTATCTTCCTCACTGTATGTTCATATCAAAGGAAAATGCCAGTAAACTGGATCACCAACACACACACACACACACACACACACACGCTCTCTCTCTCTCTCTCTCTCTCTCTCTCTCTCTCTCTCTCTCTCTCAGGGGCTTTTTCCCTTATCTTGGCTTTTTGTCTTTGCTTTCTCTAGTCTTTCCTTTTCTCCATCTTTAATAGACTTCCTTTTGACTCTAACTTTGGCATGTGTTTGAATTCTTCCTTATGCTCTCTGCCAAGAGCCCTCTTCTCTCTCAGTGCAGAGCTTGGTCTCCCCCAACTCGGGGGAATTTGCCTTGTCCTCCATCATTAAGACTTAGATCAAGTTGCCCAAGATTACACATCCAACAAATAATGGAGTCAGAATTTGAATTTAAGCAGTGTACCTCAAGAGCCCATGGTCTTCAGCACCATACAACAATGCCTCTTAAAACAATACTATTGCAAACAAAAGATGTTTTAGCCTGTTTTAAATCGGGCTTCCACATTATGTAAATGTGGTAACCAACTTCACATACCAATTTTAGAAATTACCAAAATTTTCAGTGTTTTTTAACTCATATCTGTGCCATTTCTGATAAGCTGTTTATTACATTGCTAGTTATATTACATTGTTAGTTGCAAATATTGATATTCTAATAGACAGTACTTTAAGACCTTTTATTTCTGAAATATGTTGTAGTAATTATTGTTGAATATGATATGTCTAACATTCTTGGAATTCAAACATGTTAAAAATAAAATAAAACCACATTAAAAATACCCATCTCAGAAGACATCAGAAGGCTATACACGTTTCCTCAGTAAACTCTATGTAACCTCTTCTAGATCTTCTCTAACCAGTTCAAGCTTTACCTCTAAACTACTTGGCATAGCACTTACTGTTTTCATTATTATTGTCTTCACTATTCAAGTGCTGTTAATCATTTTGTTTTATAATTTTATTTATCACATATATAACTCTTATATCAACTATAGCCTTAATTTCTAAAGAATGGACTGATATCATTCTTTGAATTACTTCTCACAGTACCAAGCACAGTGCTATGTACACATAATGAAGGAAGGAAAGAAGGGAGGGAGATAGGAAGGGAAAGTGGAAGCAGAGAGGAAGGGAGGAATGAATAAATTCTCTCCCTATTGAGCTTACTCAACAAGGGTTTTAAGTCTTCAAAGTACTTAAGCAGAGTAAGCATAATTTAAATAAACCCTGAAGGGAAAAACTGTTTCATAATTTATTCATCTGATTATCAAAATATTGGCAGGTCTTAATCTGCTGGATAAATCAAATACCACATAACCCTCTCCAAGCTAAAACAAAACAACAACAACAACAAACAGCACAGGAAGTTTCTTTGGCATAACTCTGACAACGGAATTGTTTCTCAACTCTTATGACATACATGTGAATTTGCAAGGACAAACCAAGAGAAATGAAGAGTTGTATCCTTCTTCTCCAATTATCTACCTATTCATCCCTCCCTCCATGAATTCGACATATATGTATTTATTGCATGTTTACTGTGCTAGGCTTCTTTCCAGGCTCTGGGGATATAGCAATGAACAACAACAACAAAAATCCTGCCCTCGTGGAGCTTACATTCCAGCCAGAGAAAGAGACAATAAAATAGAGAAATAAATATGTAATAAGTTATCTGTGATAAGCACTAAGGGGAAAAAAGTAAGGCAGGGAGGGGAATATGAAGTAGGATGTTGGGGAAAGATGCAGGGAACAGCTTGGATGGCCAAGGAAGACTTTATGAAAGGGAGACTTGTGAACACAGACCTGAAAGGATTAAAGTAGGGAGCCAATGAATATCTTAGGGAAGAGCATTTCAGCCAGAGATAAAAGCAAAAACAAAGGCTCTGAAGCAAGAAGAAGCTTGAATGTTCAAAGAACAGTGGGAAGGCCCATGAAGCTGAAATGGAGAAAGCAAAGGGGAAAAAGGAAGGGAGATTAGAGAAGTCAAGGGTGGGGGACAGATCATGTGTAGCCCCCTAAATCATATGTGGCCCCCATATTCTGAGGAGAAGGGAAGCCCCTGAACAGTTTTGAGCAGAGAGATGCCATGATCCAAAGTCCTTTCTGAAAGGATCGCTCCGGTTGCTACAAGGAGGAAAATCAGATGGGTCTGGGTTCCTGAAAGCCAAATGAAAAAAAGTACTTCAAAAGAAGAATGAGTGATCAACTGTGACAAATGCTGCTATTAGGTCAAGTAAGATGAGTACTGAATGACTTATTAGGTTTTGCGAAATGGAGGACACCAATGATCCTAAGAGGAACCACTTGGGTGGTATGGTAAGGAAATAATGTCCTTGGAGAGAAAGTGGAGAGAGCCAGAAGAGATGACTCTTTCAAGGAGTTATTTTTTAATGAAGTAATAGCTGAAGAATAAATGGGGTTACGAGGGTTTAAGATGGGGAAAAATAAAGGCACGTTAATATGTTGATAGAAATAATCTAGTAGAGGAGCAAATATTGATCATAAAGAAGGGGAGAATTACTGGAACAATATTCCCAGGTAGGAGAAAGGACAGTGGATTTAGGGCACAAGGGGATGATTTGGCCTTAGCTAAGAACAATATTCATAAAAATAAGAGATACGGTAGAATAATTGGGCATACATAATTACATACAGAGTAGGTGAATAGATGTGATTGTGAGAGCTTATGGAAATCATCACTGATTTCATTTTCTTAGTGAAACAGGAAGCAAGGTAAGTGAGAGGAGGTGCTCTACTTATCATGATAAACAGTCATGTAGCAGAGTAGAAGAATAGCCCAGGGGAAATCTGATAAGGTTGCTGGGCAGCATCAAGTGCCCTTGAGTTTTGTGACCATGAATTTAGAGTGAAACTAGTAATTATAGTTGTTTTTCTCCAGCCATGTCCAATGCAGAAATGCTGGCATTCAGTAGGCAGAGATCTAGATTTACTCTAAGGTTATGACTTAGACAAGAAAGAAAAATGAACTGAAAAGGTGATGATGGAATGCGGGGGTGGGGGGAAGGAAGACAACGGAGTGGTTTTAACGATTGACCATGAAACAAACTGAGTAGATGGGTGAAAAGTAAAGACAAGAGAGAGTGAGTGACTTTTTTTTTTTAAGTATATTGAAGATCTTGGTGGGGTCCAAGGATTGCTGGAGTTGGAGTGAGCCTAAAAGATAGGAAAGTGGTGGTTGGAAAGTGGGATATACTGATTGAGATAATGGAGTTGAAGTCACTGATAATGCAAGATGGAAGCTATGAAGGGAGGAGGTGACTGGGAAAAGGTGAAATTATTGTAGCAGAGGAGCACAGGAACAGAGACCAGAGTATTTAAAGGATCAGCGACATAAAAACTAATCACAAGAATTGTGACAGAAGTAGTGTTGGAGTGACAGAAAGCCAGGAGCTGAAATTTGACTGCAACAAGGAGTGGTGGTGGGTGGTATAATCTGATGATGTGACATAGAAAACTGAATTTTTAAGAATGGGAAAAAGGTTTGGAAGCAGCTATCAGAACCAAGAAAGGCATCTATTACCACTCTGGTCCCAGGGGTACTGGGAGAGTAAGAGGGAACAATAGCCACCACTAGCCATACCATGTATTCTGCCTACTACACTCTCCAACACACACTTCCTTTCTCATTTTTCCTTATATCTTGATTGTCACTATCTGATTCATCAAAATAGCAAAGAGAAGTGAGGAAATTCAAAACGCTCTGATACATCAAAGGTATTTTTTTAATATTATGATTGATTCATTACCTACATAGATCAAGCTATTGTATTACTACTAAAAGGTTTTCCAATCCTTAACAGAGTATAGAATTTTCAAAGTTTTGTAATTTAATAAATATATGTTAAAGTGGGGGTGTAGGGAGATTGTTTATTGTTACATGAACTCACAGAATTTATTATAGAGCTAGAATAATCTTGGAAATCTCTCTAGTCTAATCCCTTAATTATATATATTTGAGGAAACTGATACACAGAGATTGTGATTTGCCCACCCAACGTACACAACAGTAACCAAATTCAGGTCTCTGACTCCCAAACCCAGAAATAGTTCCACTAAACCTCACTGCTCTTTAGTAAACCAAGAGGCAGAGCTGAGGTAAAGAGAATCTGATTCTAAAAGTTCATC